TTTTTTTTTGGTGCTGGGGATCAAACCTGGGGCCCTGTGTATGAAGCAAGCACTCTACCACCGAGCCACATCCCCTAAGATATTACTCTTAAGTGATGGATTATGGATGATTTTGATATTTTGTGTATGTGTGTATGTGTGCTGGACCTCATGCATGCCTAGGCAAGCGCTCTACCACTGAGCTACTTCCTTAGTCCTCTGTATTTTTGATGTTTTATACAGCAAGCAGATATTTGGTTTTATTGAAAAAAGTAATTTGGAAAAGAGATAAACACATAGCTAACTTTTTGCCCTGGAACCATTTCGAATATGCTTTCGTAATACTTTTAAATAGAATTTTAATTCATTATATGTATTACCTTTCCCTTAAGAAACTTCCGGTCAGACAAGCAGGAGATGAAAATATCTCTCGGATTTCCCTGTATCAGGAATAAGATGATGGTTACACCAAATTGAACAGCATGCCTCCTTACAGCATGAGACATGATAAATGAAACAGCTTGTAATTGTCCTTCAAACTTCTCCCATCTTTTACTTGTTTGCGTACTATCATGGCATCTAAATATCTACCCCATTTGTTAATTCTCAAAATGTCAGTGGAAATAGAAAGGTGTATTCTGAGACGTCTCAGGGAAAGAGGAAAGGGCCTGATGCAGTCAGAAATTTCTCCAACAAATAAAACATATTCTACTCAACTTCACAAGCTCTATTTCTATTCCACTGATTTGGGAACAAAATAAATTACCAGAAATTAAATATACTGGGGGCCCAGGGTAGGGGTTTGTTTCATCTCTAGAAGTACACAACACTTGTTGGTCATTTGTACTCTGCAAATTATAACACAACTATTTTTTATAACTAGTTTCCAGAATTAAAAAGCCACATCTAAGAAGGTCTCTAGAATGAGACCGTAAGAATGAGTATAATCCTTACAAGTGGCAGGAGTTTTGTAGTTGAGATTAGGGTTGTTCTGACTATTCAGCTATGAATTAGAGGTGTAGGAACAAGTGGTTGCAGGGTCAGAAAGGGTTGGGAAATGCCACAGAACATATTTCCTGCTCAGAGTCACAGTAAATCTAAATATAGTAAGAGTCTAGGGAAATCTTACAGTAAAAAAAAGCTGTCTTCGTGGAGTGTACATGCTAAGTGTGTTGATCAGTTTTAGGTGTCAACTTGGCTAGTCCATGCTACCAAGATATTTGGTCAAACATTATTCTAGATGTTTCTGTGAAGGTATTTTCAAATTAAAATTAACAATTAAATCAGCAGACTTTGAGTAAACCAGGTAACTCTTGGGTATGTGGTGAGCATCATCCAGTTAGTTTAAAGGCCTTACAATAAAACAACAAGCCACCCTTCCAAAAGAGAATTCTGCCTTCAGACTCAAGCTGCAACATCAATTTCTTCCTGGTGACCAGACCACAAATTTCAGACTTGTGCCCCCACAATTACACAAGCTAATTACTTAAGATAATCTCTCTTTCAACAGATAGATATAGACACATCCTGTTAGCTCTGTTATTCTGGAAAATCCTGGCTAATACACTAGAGCCTTATATCTCTCTATTGTGCAGCACCAATTTGGGAATGCTACTTTAGAGAGACAAATTAAGTGCACATACCTTTTTGTATTTTGCCACTGCTTAGTGCCCACATCAGCGATCCATCTCTTTATAGTTCCTTCATTTAATAAAAGAATTTTCCTCCTCAGATTAACATAGGAATTCTATAAACAAGAAAGCATAATAATTTAGACATGTCAGAAATTTACCTAAGTTTTAGGTGCATTCTAAGAATACAACACTGATTTTTAAATATGGATAACTAAGTCTGGGACAATCACAAAAAGAAACTCTACCAAGCAAGGAGTTGCCCATTTATTGTCCAAGGAGGCTTAGAGTCAAAGAAATTTCTTGGAGTGTCACAACACTTAGCAGTTTATACAAACACAATCCTATGAAGGTGAACATCAGACAACCTTAAAAGGACATTCCTAGAGGGCAGGGTGTATAAGGAGGAGGAAATTGATTTCCAGGGTCCAGTACTCACAAGCTTCGTAGCCTCAGGTGTTTTTAGTATTGTACCTATCTGCTCATGAGGACCTGACAATGTTACTAGCCAGAAGCCCACCAAAAGATAGGTGGAGTATGAGGAAATTACAGTGATTCAACAACATTCATTAGGGACAAATCTGTTGATTTTTGCAGGTAAAATAAATTAGCTTAGATGGTAAAGGATCAACAATGCCCATCTATTCTCCAAAAGTCACCTTAGTAACCTAATGACTTTTAAGTTGGACAAACCTGGATTCCAGAACCCTTTATTTTGTTTAAAATACCAAGGATAGTACATGTAGAGATTTAATTTTACCTCTTTTTCCATCCAGAGCAAAATGCTTTGATTTCCTCCAGCAATCATAATCAGCTCCTTTCCTGAGCTGTGGCTTTCTGAAAGGGATGCACATAAAGTGTATAGAATGTCACTTAGCACAAACCTGTATATTCAATGTAAATAATCTCAGATTTTTCTTATATGTTGTCATTTTATGTTTTTAACAGACAAAAACTCAGTGCATTTCCCACTAATTAAGAAGTAGAGATGTATATACTTTAGGGTAAAGTCTAGTTGTTAAACGTAGGTGACACATAAGGTTGACATGTGGCATCTGTTTTATATAATTAATATAAATGCTTATATAGAGCATAAACAAATATTTCATTAACTGTTGCCTAGCTCTCATTCTTAAAAAGCATGATCATAATATTTAACCAATTATTGCTGAATGAAGAATATGAATAAATACTTCAAGGCATGGAATGTTATAAATAATCAAAGATAATATATGAACTACTTGAGCAAATTACTGTTCATTTCCCCAGAAAAAATGAGAGAATTCTAAGCTTTCAGAAACAATCCAAGCACTTTGAGGCACTTGTACTGCAGTGTTTCAGAGCCTGGGTTCTGAGATTACATGGAGCATGGTTCAATTTCAGCTAGACCTCTTCCTGGCTTTGAGTAAGTGTCTAGCTAGCCTTTTGCTCTCCAGGTTTCTGTATCCTCCTGCAAAATGAGGATAACAAAATACATCTCAGAATGGTTACAAGGACTGATAGTACAGGTACGTGCTGAGCATACTTCCAGCACTTCTGATTTGGAGCATACTTCTGATTATGGGTCAATTAAACCCAGGTAGGAAAACCAATCATCCTGGAATGTAATAAATCTCTTACAAACTGAAATCTTCAAACATCTATGAATCCATATCTGCTTTATTATGTGATTATTCAAGTTTACATTAATCCTAATCTGAAGGAGAAGCAGAAAAATGAGGGTTATTCTGATTTGATAAATTAAATGGAATCTTTAAAATTATTTACACATAAAAAAAAAAATAAAACCAGTGTTCACAGAAACTCATTTATATTCCTACACTGCTTTCCTTGTCATATCGTGTCCTCAGAAAAATCACTTTCTCTAACAAGGCATTATGCTGAATCCTATACTCCTATAGAATTTACCAAATTTGAGTTCTTCATTTGATGGCAATTTCATGGGTAGCGGTATCAGCTGATTATGTTTTCCACCATTTCCTAATTGTCCTTCTTTTCCAAAACCAAAGGAAAAGACCTTTCCCAAATCGGAAACATAGGCAAGTGTGTGCCACCTATTAAATAAAAGCACATACTGTCAATTCTTAATTTTACCCAATGATGAGAATATTTAGCAATACAGTAAATTACCAAAATCAGCTTACCCAATCAGAGTGAAACTAACACTCAAAGGATGAAAACCATCTGGAAACCAAGAAACCTACTGTGAGAGTGAGAAGACTTTGGAAAGCCTGTATCCACTCAAGGCCTTGAGTCACACACTGGCAAATGGTGTTCCCTTTATTGGGAACAAACACCTCCCTTTCCTCTTCCCTTTTCAAGCCTTAGCTTGAGAGTGACCAGCTCCTCGAAACCATCTCTGAATTCCTCATCTTACCATCCTAGAAGACTGGATTAGCTGACCTCCTCTGAGCTCCCACTTATTTCTCAAAGACATTTACCACACTGGTTTTCTCACTCATTTGTTCTCTGGTCTCTTCCAACACTGGTGTGTAGTAAACAATTTGATCTTGCTCAGAGAGGTTTGCCCTTGTCCCCTACTTATGGGTGGTAACTGCCAAATCCTCAGTACTTTTCAGGTGACAGAGTGTCTGGCACTGAGAGTGGAGCCCTGAGACCACTCCTATTGGAGGCTAGTGGCAAACTCCCCTGGCCTGGGATGTAAGCCAGACCCGTGGGAGGGAAGAGATGGAGATTGGGTTAAATTACCTGGCACTGGTACAATTAATCATACCTAAGCAGTGAACCTCCAATAAAAACTCTGTGGACTCGGGTGTTTCCCAGTTTAACAATACTTCCTGTATTCCAGAGGAGGTAACAGCTGCTCCAAGTGGAGACAACCAGAAATTCAGCATTCAGACTCTTCCTAGTCTTTGCCCTCCACCTCTCTTCCTTCAACTGTTATTAACCACTATCCTTTTCCTGTAATAAATGTGACTGAACATATCAACTTGCAGTGTGTTATGTGTTTCTAGTGAATTCCCCCATGTTAGTAGGGGTATTAACCTGATTTATACTAGGGATCTAATGTGGCTCCTTCTCTTGAAATACATGCTATTAAAAGTGACATGTGTTAGGAAGAACCTAAAGTGGTAGCAACATTTTTTGATTAAAAGATACTGAGGCTGGGTGCAGTGGTGTACACCTGTAATCCTAGCAGCTCAGGAGGCTGAGGCAGGAGGATTCCAAATTCAAAGCCAGCCTCAGCAACTTAATGAGGCCCTAAGCAACTCAGTGAGACTCTGTCTCAAAATAAAAAGGACCAGGATATAACTCAGTGGTAAAGTGCCTGGGTTCAATCCCTAGTAGGAAAAAAAGAGATAGAGAGAGAGAGAGAGAGAGAGAGAGAGAGAGAGAGAGAGAGAGAGAGAGAGAGATTGAATGGGTCCTTGGGATGTTGTTAGGAGTGGCTCAATGATAGAATGTTTGTCTAGTGTGCAGGAGGCTCTGGGTTCAATCTCCAGTATGGCAAAGAAAAGGGGAGAAAGATGGAATGTGACATACATTAAGAAGATATTGCTTTGGCTAAGAGAATCTTACTCCAATAATTTGGTCTACCTTAACATTATCACCATTCATGTAGTTTTAGTGTGAGTTCATAACAGAGTATGTCTACAGACTGAATGTATATAAACTGGATTTTTTATAGTAAAGATTTCACAAATGAACCCAAAAATAACCCTTTGTGACTTACATTTATTTACATTCCCCAAATAATAATGAT